ATGATGCATCTTTACCTGCAGACAAACAGCTGAATCTGCAAAATAAGTCTTTAATTTGGGCACAGAACTCCCAACAGGTAAGATTTGATTACCGTATTCGTTAATGGAATTCCATTTGAACTGTTATACTTGTATAAGTATTTTTTTATTGTTAGTGTAATGTTTGGTTTTATTGCATCACAATTAAAAAAAGATGCTTGCAAATATCACTGACAAAGTGAACCGTCATACATTTTTGTTCATGCAGGTGCCTTCATCAGTTTGCAATGAGAAATGCCCTCCAGGAACTCGCAAGGTTCTCCAGAAAGGAAAACCTATCTGCTGCTATGACTGTTTAAGATGTGCAGAGGGAGAAATAAGCAACATTACAGGTGATAAGAAAATCAAGACAAAAACAATTCTAAAGGTGTGAAGTCATGTTAGTACATAGTAGTCACATAGTAGTCGGAGATGCTGGTGCTCTAGTGCAACATCTAGTGGAAAGTAAACTTAATTTAATCTTTACGTAATGGCATAGTTTTGTATCTGATTTTAAAAAAGCAGGGATTATAGTACAGTAATTATGTAATATTTTAAGCAAACCAAAATACATATTATCAAATCAAAAATAAACAGGCCTACATCAATTATCCTAAATAAATACTTATACATAAGTCTGAAATAAGCTATATAAACACCAACTTAAACACACAGCATATCTAAACAACTGAAACCAACGTGTTACAGACAGTATGACATCGGCACCAACTGGTGTGTTCACTGCTGTACACTCTTGCTTTACTTGATCTCTGCTTGTAAAATATCCTATCTTCGCCAGAGAACTTTTCTCTGTATTTTTCTCTGCAGAACTAGCATGACATCACTAGACCAAACAAGAGGGGCAGAGCGAGGGGAGATTCTCCACTAGTTAATTGATCGTGGATACTTGTACTGGGAGTGAAAGATGTCTTGCTGAAGCAACAGCGCATAACACAATTTTAGAGACAAGTGCAGAGTGTAAAAATACTTCTGGTTTATTACGGAAATGTGGTGTGGGACCATAGTCTCTAAGGTTATCTATAACTGTTACAGATATGATCTGTCTTGTAAACAAAGAAAAGATGCAACATAAAGACAAAAAAGACAAATATAATGAGCATGTCTAAGACCTGCTTTTTATTTTGTTTTTAGATTCTATCAGCTGCTTGCGATGTGACCCTGAGTTCTGGTCAAATGAGAGA